ATATTGTACAAAAGTTAACAATATTAATTTGTCAAGTTCATCAGCAGGCTGCACTCTATTTAAGTGTCATTTACAGTTTATTTCATTTTAATCTTATTTTAAGTGTGCTTGCTTTATTAACACACAATTTTATTTATCAAAATGCCTTATAAATATTTTTCTAATTTGTGCTAAGCACGACAACTGTGGTTTAACTGTTCAGTGTGAAAATATTTTTTTTCTTTTACTTTAACTAAAGAATACTTTAAAGATTTTACTTTAATAAACCATAAAATGACTTTATTTAATTATTAAACACAAATCAAACAAAATGTGGATCAATTTACAAGTTATTTGAATTGGCCTTAAATCACGTTGTACGGGGAAAATTGGGCCCCAGTGTCAAAAAAGTTAAGAAACTCTGATTTAGATTATCCACCACACCAACTTGTCTGAAAAAGAAAGGCACATTTAACCGAAACCAATTCTTAAGCTTAAGTCACTAGCGCTATAGTGCTAACAGTTCCAGCCCTTTTGCCTGCACTGCATGGTAAAACAAGCTCTCTGAAAATAAAAAACGTGTTTAGAAAATCACTTTTGATAATGACTTACAGAAGAGCAGATCATTAAAATGCCAAAAGTCAGAGCCATTAATTTCTGTTTAAGCCTTTTAGTAAGAGAGAAGTGCATTGGTCGGCCCGTGTGCGCAAGCTAATGGTTTCCATACGAGGCAAATACAATAAATCTTCAACATTCTCTTGTCACTATCGCCTCACTTTTATTCCCCTAATGTACAGTAGTTTACACCATGCTGCCAAATGTAGTTTGCATTGGGGAAAACGTGTGGAAAATGTGGTTTGTGGCACTGTACATACATGGTATTTACTGACAAATGCGTTTCAAGTTAAAGTCACGTTACAAGAAGAAGATTGATAAGAAATAACTGTAAGTCTTTTAAAATGCCCCTCTGAAGTATTGTACCCACACAGAGTGCAATGATTTTGGTGTCATGGTAGCTATAGGAAGGAGAAGGGTACATAGGATTAGGAAATATATATGGGAACAGCCAAAAGTAAAAGAAGAAGATATACAAAAGAATAGAGTACCTTAATGGGAACAGGACTCAGCTCTGTGTTGTTGCCATTACAGTGGGGTAATGCCATGAACTGTGGAACCCACAATGACTTGGGAGATAACAACTCAAGTGATGATGAAGGTCAGGTGACTAGCAGGAGTTGAGCAATACAGTAAAGCTGATGGAGTGATGGTTGAACCCAGAAGAGAGACCGAACAGATGCTTGGATCCAAGAGAGCCAGGAGCTGTCATGATCGTAAATATGTGGGAACTAAGGAGGTGTAGTGATGGGCCATTTAACAAAGAGGGATGGATTGGAAAAGTGTTGCTAGGGTGAATAATTTAGTGGGGTGATTGAAGGTGTGTTCTTAATTGCTTGTTTTCTTTGAGGACACTTGAGCCCTGACATTTGGGATTTCAGGTAAAAGACAAACAGAACAATACAGTCATCATTAACCATGTTCTACTCAAAAAACACGGCTCAGAAAGCAGCCATTGATCATATTAATGAAACTTGTTTTTTTTGTGTTACACCAGGCTTTCGTGTTTCCTTTCCTCGTGCAGATTAATTTCAGAGTTTGATCTTATCTGTCTCTCTTATCAGCTCATCTCCTCATTATGAGTCCCATTTATTTTCTTTTTTCTTGCTCCTCGTTCTCTGCTTGCGAGGGCTATAGCTTTTTCAGTTTGTAACACCTTTTGAGTAAAAGCTTGGTTCCACCTTGGGTTTGTCCTGACAGAGTAATCTAGAGGAGTTTATCGCTGCTGGCACTATTGTCATCTCCTCGTCACCACTGGGCGCCAGTTTCTTCTTGTTAAGAAGAGGAACGTTTCCTGTGGCTAAACATCGATTACTGGGCCTAAATAAAATAATGGCAAAAGACCAAATACCTTCTTTCCTTTATGTCCAGTTTGTTTGACATCATATAGGGGTTCAATGTTGTTCACCAAGCTGGATTTATCACTTACCATCTCGTATGCATGAGAGAGGGGAATGAGTGGAACACAGCGTTTAACACCCACTCGGGCATTATGAATACCATATTCTGCTTTTTGGGCTCATTAATGTTCCAGCCATTTTGCAGGCGTTCATTATTGATGTCCTCCTGGACATGAGTAATGTTTACACCTTTGTCTGTCTTGATGATATATGCATTTTTGATGATGTATACCACTCAGCTGTGCAATGTCTTTTAGTTAAATCTGAGAAATACACTTTTCACCAATCCTTTGGGCTGTTTCGGGGGCACAGCATTGGTTCAGGCAGTCTGGAGATGGACCCTAGCAGAGAGGCTGCAGTGCTAGATTGGCCAGTGCCCAAATACCACTCAGTGTTACAGAGCTTTTTAGGTTTCTCCAGTTTTTACAAGCATTTTATATGCAATTTTTGCCAGATAGCTGCACCTCTAACCACCCTTACATCTATCAAGGTGCCAATTGCTTGATCTCAGCCTGCCCAATAGGCATTTGATCATCTCAAGCACCTTTTCACTCCTGCTCTGACCCTCATTACTCCATCTCTTGAGTGACAATTTATCATAGAAGTTGACTCTTTTGACTGAAAAGTTGATGCCTTTTTGTCCCAGCGGCTCAAGTCTGGTGGCAAGGTGCATCCATATTCTTTCTTTTCCCACCACCTGAGTCCCACCGATGACCGCTATGGAGTGAGACTCCACAAGATCCTTGCCATATGGATTGTGCTCTTGCCAGTTCTGTGCCCTTTTCCACCTCTGGGCACATCTTACCCGTCATTCACAAGGAGAGAGTGACTGGCACACTCACCTGGGAAATAGGAGAATGTTCTGTTCATAATATCTTTATTAAGGCTTCTTTGATAATTCCCTTGTGTTGCCCTCCTAATTGTCTTTTTGTCAGCAATTCTCTCCACTGGGGGCACTGCTCCAAGCTTTCCTGCCACCCAGGTGACTGAAGAACCTTGGAGATAATCCACCTTGGATTTGTTGGCCTTAACTGGCCCATGATATCTGCCATTTGTGTGCACTTCTGGTACATATAAGTCTAGCACTGCCCATTTTGGTTGCACATTGCACTTGATTTTGTTAATGATCTCCCCATCTCTAAGGGGTTTCAACCATTCCCACCATCGCTTTTTTTTAAAGTTCATTTTGTACACCTGCCTCGGTGCCTCAGATTGTTTTTAAATCACATTTTTTGCATTCATGAACTCCACTCAGGTATCCTCTCAGACAGGCTACTAATTTACCTCTCAGGTCTTCCCGCCATGGGGGGGCGCACAGGCACTGCAGGGGGGGGGGCGCAGATAATCAGCAGAAAAAGAAAAGAACAAAAAAATAAACAGCTAAAAGACGTAGAGTAAAAGATGCATCCGTTTGTAAAGGGGAAGTCGCAGAGACCCATGCAGCTCATTCAAAAGATAACGTGGTTAAATGCAGAAGATACTCAGGAGAGTGAGGTGGTTGTACCTTCACTTTGCAAGTTTATCCAACTCACTATGAGCCCCTGGCGCTTAGTCAGATCTCTCCACATTGCATCTGCATAACTTCCTCAACCAGTCAATACCCTGCCGCACCTTGCTACATTTAAGGGCCAACACATTTTTCCTTCTACTGTAAGATTAAATCTTCCTTGCCTTCATCTTGTTTTCCATGTTTCTTGCTCTTCACACTTCTCTGCCCCAGATCATGTCGTACTTACAGAGTGAGACTCCTTGATGTAAGATGACATGGACGTGGGTGCCGGTTTCTGGTCGGATGGTTACTGTTCCAAGGCAGAGCCCCTCTCAAGTTATTGACGATAAGTCCCTGATCAATGATTTCTATTGCTCTCATCGCTCCTGTTCATTTTAGTCACCAGGTGGCGCCCTTGGGGAAGGGGTCCTGTTATGCCTGTCTTTCATCTTCTCTCTTCTCTTCTAGATTAATATTAGAGTTGGATCTCTCTCTCTCTATCTCTCTTGCCTGTTCCTCATCTCCACAGGTCTCGGAACCAGAACAACAGGGAGCATGAAGAAACCGGCTGGAGGACAGGTGGGCAGACAGGTAAGTATTCACTAGTAGAGGATTCTTTGGACAGGAACTAGTGGTTCCTCAGACAGGAACCCAGAGGTGTGCTTGAAAATACTGGAGAAAGGAGCTAAGTTTATTAAAAATGGATCTCTGCAGGCAGGAGTGTATTCCAAGTGAAGGGTTTCAAATGGATGAGTCAGTGCCAGAGAACTGTGCACTGGGTGATTGGAGGAAGTGGATCCAGGTGTTTCTAAAGGAGGTTGGTAGGTGAGGGCAGCGAAAAGGTGCTGGGAACTGTATTCCTGACACAGACAGAGAAGTTCTTCGAAAGTGTTAGGTGTAGGTGGGGGAGGGAATGGCTGGTGTTTTAGAAAATTTGTCAATTATTATGTTTCAGAAAATTTCATGTTTCAGAAAATTTCTCAAATTTTACCGTTGCATTTTCTTTTGTAAAATTATTTGAATTTTATTATTACATGAAAGTAAAATTCAGATGTCTAGTTGGAAGTCTGCATTCTCACCTGTGCTCTCTTCACAGAACACTGAGCACCCTGAAGATCTTTTGGAAGCATCCATGATTTTTTGTGTCATTTTTTTCCTTTCAAGGGTTCCTATTTGTTGGGCTGTGTTCTGGGTCTCCTTGGTTCCATTTTTGCCATTTTACCAGTGTTGCGAAGGTTCAATAAAGACTGTCTAACTTGCATCTGGGTTCATTCAATATGCCAAGATTGTAAACAAAAAAGACTAGTTGCCTTGACATCACTGAAAGTGATTTTAGGACCAAGTATGGAGTGACTCCTACAAGAAATTTGTGTTCTGCATTTAACCCATCCAAGTGCACACACTGCAGTGAATAAACACACAATGAACACACACTGAGTAACTGGTGACTCGCTCAAGGTCACCACAGTAATGGTTGTCACAGGAGGGAGACAGTTTTAACACTTATCCCACCTTCCCACCATTGGAGCTGGGGATCGAACCAGTGTCCTTTTGATCTCCAGTCAATCACCTTATCCACTAGGCAACAATTGCCACAGGAGATATTCTTGTCTGGGCCTGAACTGGTTGCTGACTTGTTGCCTGATTTTATGCTAGATATAGTAGAGCTTATGTGGATCTACAGAAAAGTAAAGATTGTTTTGTTATGCTGTCACTCAATGTTAAAATAAGAAAAACATCTTTTTTTGTCTGTACGCTTAGCTTGTTTGTTATAGATATGTGGCTCAGTCAGTTGATGCCTTGATATGTAAGTCACTTTGGATACATTATCACATGTATATTTTTCTGTAGAACTATGTGGGTTTCTCGATCATTCTGTCATATTGAATAAACATGATTTTAAATGATGACTTTTCAAATCTATATGAAGGTTCTTTTTATTTCGGTATATATCATTTCTAGTAAGATTTTACAAGTTAGGTAACAAATAGATAACCACTAGATGTCTACCTTGCGCAAGACTTCAATGGTAAGCCTACAGTATTATTTTATCTGTATTACTAATAATCTATAAAAATCCTGTTCTAAATAGCTTCTAACAGTCACAGGGATCTCTATAGTCATTCGATTGAGAAGCAAAGCAAACACTTGCTCCATAATCTTGATTAAGTCATATTTATGTGTACCACATTTCATCTCTCCCACTTTGGAAAACTTGTGAATAAATAGAAATGCAGCGAGCCTAAACACAGTAAAAGAGTGGTTGTTATTTCTTCTGTGAAAATCAAGTTGAAGGTGACATTCTAATAACCTTTAGAAGTGATCTAACAGTGATGGAAGCCCTGGAAGAAGGAAGACCTAGACAAAACATTTAGAGGTTTCTGAAATGTATTTGGGCATAGTAGCAGAATGTTAAGATAGCATAATATTGTGAGGTACACTAAATTTTGCAAGAGCATGCTTATTGTTCAATGAAGGTCACTCTTGCTTCCTTAGATGGAGTGCTAGACGCCACTGCTGAAGTTCTGAGAGTGTTCTTGTAATGTAACAGGGTCAAGATGGTTTTGTTTGAACGTTTTCCCCCTTTTTCCTCTGTCTGATGAAACATTGTGTAAGAACTCCAGCATCCAGTGTTACCAATTTTATCAAGCGTAAGAGTTTACTCTTGAAGTACTATGTTAAACTTGTAGAACAGAATTTTTATTATACATCAAAGCAAACGAGACAACTTAACCTACTGGGTGTGTTTTATCCGTTTCATTCTGAAGAATACTTCTCTCTTTAAAGCACGTGTCAAACTCAAGGCCGCGGGACAGATGTGGCCCGTCATGTAATCTAATGTGGCCCGCGAGAGCTTAAAAGTTTTGAGTGTCTAAAAAAAAACTACATTTCCCACAACGCATCCATACTAACGAGTAAAACTGCAGAGCTCTCACACATTGAACGTAAGACTCGCATTTGAGTGATTTGACACAAATCTCATGCTAAAACCAATTTCAAGATGTGAAATGGGTGTGGCTAATAGTTTATCTGTGATCTGTTTCTTGAGCCTGATGATAAAAGATGATGATCGATATGCATCATCTTCAGTCTGTGAGGGTTTTCTTCGCTAAACAAATTACAAAAATGCTATTTTTCTTTATTCACTTGGACGGTTTGATCCTTCATTAATGGAGCTATGTGGGTTTTCATAAGCTGACAAAAATCTAAAGGATTTATATTAGAACAACAAGCATACAATTGTTTCTATGCAACTGAATTGTCACTTGAATAAGTTATAAATAATGAGTTATTTAACATTAAGGAGTAGTTACATTTATTTTACATTACATTCGATTACATTGTTTTACATTTATAAGTTACATCTGGCCCTTTGAGGACAGCCATTATGCTAATGTGGCCCTCTGTGAAAATGAGTTTGACACCACTGCTTTAAAGCATTTTCAGCAGTGTGTTGTGTTTTAAATCAGAGCAGATTGTATTGCTAGCACAGTGTCCTTCTCAAAAAAAAAAACAACCTTTATCACAGAGCAACATGTGGGTTGAATTTTTCTGCACTCTGACGATTACACACAGATTTGAGCAATTTCCTGCTGACCAAATGTTTGCTGATTGCCCTCTAGCATAACTTGGCCTACCGCAAAATGTGGATAAGTGATTTTTACAGCACACTTACAAGACTTTATTTATTGTGCTAGTCTCTGAGCCCTGGCACCACCTTCGAGCCGGCCTCTGGCACCGAAGACAAGGACTTCCATTTGGACTCTGGCCATTCTGTGAATTAATATCAGGCTTAATGGAACGAGATGCAACTCTGCAGCCAAGTGGGTGACACATCATTCATTAATGCAAACCGCTGGCCCAAGGGAACGCACTGACCCAGTAATATTTACTCAAGTGTAAATTAGCATCTAATGACTCCACTACAGGTATTATGTGCAAAGGGGAAGCTACCCAGTGTCTGATGGGAATCGGATTGGACAGGCATAGCTTCGTACGGAAATCAGATCTGGGTGTTTATCCAGATGTGCTTCGTTGTGGATATCAGCCAGTCTTTGTGGGAAACAACTCTGTAAACAATTTATACGTAAACAATTGCTGGCAAATTGAAGGAGCCCTCCCCCTTCTGAAGAGGCCTGGAGTCTCTGCACATGGAAGTCATGAAAACCATTACATGGTTTGTTTTTGTATGTGAG